ACACGACTTTAATTTTAATAAGTATTTAATAAACATGACAGTATTATCTATGTTTCGAGTCAAGTTCTTTAACAAATTTAAGAATGAATAAAGTAACAAAAACTATAAAACACAAAAAACCACAGTCATCACCAAGTTCGCTAAACCTATCATTCACCAATATTCGTGGTCTTCGAAGTAACTTCTCTTCTGTTGAGACTTATTTCTTGCAAAGTTCACCAGACCTACTTGCTCTTTGTGAGACTAATTTGAGTTCAGCTGTCTCATCTTGTGATTTTAGTGTTGATGGTTATCTTCCTTTAATTCGTAAAGACTCCAATAGTCACATGCTTGGCCTGGGCATTTACATTCGTAAGAATTCACCCATTTGTCGGAAAACTAGGTTTGAATCCACAGACTACTCTTTTATGTGCTTTCGTTTAGCACCACTTCACTCTATCACCTTTCTTTTTGTTCTATATCGCTCTCCCTCATCTAAAGACTGAACTCTTCTTGATGTTATTTCTGATCATATTGACCAAGCCCTCTGTCTTTATCCATCAGCCAATATTGTTGTTGTCGGTGACTTTAATGTTCATCACACTGAATGGCTTGGCTTTAGTGTCAGTGACTTTGCAGGCATTAAGGTCCACAACTTTTGCCTTTCTCAATCCCTAACTCAAAGAGTCAACTTTCCAACTCGCTTTCCAGATAATCCGAATCATTTACCTTCTCTACTCGACTTATATCTTGTTTCTGATCCTAGTCAGTGGTCAGTTTCTGCACATTCACCCTTAGGTGCCTCCGATCATTGTTTGGTCTCTCTAAAACTATTATCTCATTCTTCTTTATCATCAGAATCCCCCTATCATTGTACATCTTACAACTACCTTAAAGCGGACTAGGACTCTTTCCGTGATTTTCTTCGTAATGGCCCCTGGGTAGAAATCTTTGTCTTTCTATTGAGAAATGTGCTTCTTACATAACTTTGTGGATTCAGGCTGGCATGGAATCCTTTATTCCCTCTCGACGATTCCAGGTCAAGCCTCACTCTTCCTAATGGTTTTCCTCGCATTGTGCTGCTGCAATTGCCAATCGAAATCATTACTTCCATATCTATCAGCAAATCAATTCTCCAGAAAACAGACGTCTGTTTATTACTGCTAGGAACCATTGTAAAAAGGTTTTGTCAAATGCCAATGCCCGCTATTCTCAGATCATGAAATCTCGTATTTCATCACAAAAATTAGGCTCTCGTGACTTCTGGAGAATCTTTAATAGTATCAATATTAAGGGCAAGTCAGTAATTCCACCTCTTTTGTACGGTTCAGACTTTGTCACCTCACCTAAAGACAAAGCTGAATTGTTTGCTAAGAACTTTTCATCAATATCATCTCTTGACTCCACTAGTTGCGCTCTACCTGATATAGCCGTCAAACAGGTTGATCCATTGCTCGGCATCCATATCACTCCAGCTTCTGTATCTAAAGTGATTTCCTGCTTAAACTCTTCTACAGCTTGTGGCCCGGACAACATACCTGTTATAGTCTTGCAGAAGTGTTCTCCGGAGCTGTCGTCTATCCTTTCAAAACTATTTAACAAGTGCTTACCAGAGTCTTGTTTTCCAGCCTGCTGGAAAGCAGCATCTGTTATCCCTATTTTTAAAAATTCTGGAGAGCGATCCGATTCATCTAACTACCGTCCCATTAGTCTTCTTCCTATCATAAGCAAGGTTTTTGAATCTTTAATTAACAAACACTTAATCTCTCAGCTTGAATCTCATTACCTACTTTCTGATCATCAATATGGATTTCGATCTTCTCGTTTTACGGCTGATTTGCTAACAGTAATAACCGATAGGTTTTATCGTCCATTAGATAAAGGTGGAGAGGTTAAGGCCACTGCTCTTGACATTTCTAAAGCGTTTGATAAAGTTTGGCATGCTGGTCTCCTCCATAAGCTTTCTTCTTACGGTGTATCTGAAAACATCTTTAAAATTATAGAACCCTTTCTTTCCAATGGTAGTATAAAAGTTGTCCTTGATGGACAGCACTCTTCTTCTAATTCTGTAACCTCAGGGGTTCCTCAAGGTTCAATCCTTGGATCTATACTCTTTTTAATTTACATTAACGATCTTCCAGATATTCTCATATCTAAGATGGCATTGTTTGCTGATGATTCTACCATTTATTCTTGTCACGATAATAAGCCAACTCCCTCTGATTGCTTGCAGGGGGCACTTGAGCTTGAAAAGGATTTCACATCTGCAACAACATGGGGCTCACAGTGGCTGGTGAACTTTAATTCAAATAAAACTCAATTTTTTTCAGCCAATCGTTATCGCAATAATTTAGATCTTCCTATATTAATGAATGGTAATGTACTCGATGAGTCATCTACCCTTCATCTTCTAGGATTAACTCTCACTTCTGATCTTTCTTGGAAACCTTTTTTCAAATCCGTCGCAAAATTAGCATCTGCTAAAGTTGCATCTCTTCATCGAGCTTGACACTTTCTTACTCTGGATTCTATTCTCTATCTCTATAAATTTCAAATCCGACCTTGTATGGAATACTGTTGCCATATCTGGAGCGGATCTTCTAATGATGCTCTTTCTCTTTTAGATAAGATGCAAAAACGCATTGTAAACATAGTTGGATCTGCTCTTGCAGCCATTCTTCAACCTTTGTCACATCGTCGTAATGTTGCTTCTCTTTCTCTTTCCTACAAATACTATAATGGGCACTGCTCTAAAGCGCTAGCGTCTCTTGTGCCAACTACTAAAATTCATTCTCGTGTTACTCGTCATTCAATTAAGTCTCATCCTTTTTCTGTTACTGTTCCTAAGTGCTCCATAAACTCTTATTCGTCTAGTTTTTTTCCTCGAACATCAGTTCTTTGGAATTTGCTTCCTTCATCTTGCTTTCCTGATTCATATAATTTGCAATCTTTTAAGTCATCTGTCAATCGTTATCTTGCTCTACAACCTTCATCTTTTCTCTTCCAGTAACTTCCAACACTAATTAGTGGTTGCTTGCAGCCTTGTTGAAAGCGAAGATGTTAAAAAAAAAAAAAAAATTTAATCAAATTACTTAGAGTCTTTACAAAGAAAGCTATACGAATCGTTATTGCTTTACACTCAGCTAACCACATTGCAAAAAAAAAATTACGTCTGAAGAAGCTTTTGAATATTTCTTGGATAACAAACTTTCAAAAAGTGTTTATGATAATACCCATTAAGAAGCACCGAAATAAAAAACGAGTGCTCACCTTTAAAAACATCCATTCATGTTACTGAAACAAAGACCAAAGATTGATAAATACTGCAATCATACATATAAGAAGTTGTTAGAGACATAATTGGTTCAAGGTTCCAGCTTCCTTTCACAAAGTATTAGCACAAGCTGGCGAAAATTTTTATTAACTTACCAGTTCCACTTGATTTAATGGGAGAGAGGGTAGTTAAATCTTGACACAGAATTTATAAATTTGATCGTGGACATCATGCAAAGAAAAAAAAGTATATAAATAAACTTATTAACATTTTCATACGAGATATGCATACTTTTGATCCCCTAATTAGTTCAATCTCATTAAATAAAAGATTTGAAAGTATTTGAAAATATTGTGCCTACCAGATAAAGTTTAAATTTGTTAGCAGTTTATAGCGATGATAAAGAAATATCATCTGATGTGGAATCAGATGGTATTAATGACTTAGATGAATTATATTAATTATATCATCTTTGCAATAACATCACAAATGAAGGAAGTGTTTGTTTAACGGTGAAAAGTAAAAAAAAAAGTTTTATGAAGAAAAAATCAAACAACATTTTAGTAATAAAAGTTAAAAAAATAAGTGCAAGGCCGACGACACCGGGGAGGGGAAGAGGAGGGACCAGGGGTTTAACTAATCTATCTAATGCGTAATATAGGCTTTAGTACTGTATGTAGTTGTGTATGCATATATTTTTTTTATTCAAGTTTGCCTTTATTTTTTTTTTTTTATATTTTTCAGCAAAAATAGTTTCTTCTCATTCTATTTAATTAATTTTATTATTATTTAATTAAAATTTTTGTTTTCTCTTACGTTTTTCTCTCACTCATCTTATCTCATCCGTTCATTCTCTCTTTTTTTTTTCTTTTTTTTAACCTTACTCCTTTATATTTTTGTTTTTATTCCAACTTTTTTAATATTATTGTTCCTATTACTTCTTTTTTTATTACTTGTATTGATGTAGTTTACTTTCGTTATTATTTCCTTGTTTTAATATTTTTTGTTTATTTTATTTGTTTATTTTATTAAGATGTCACTCCATTGACAAGTTTTTAACTACATGAGTGACACCGAACTATCTTTGTAAATTATAATTAAATTTCTAATTTTTAATTTTATGGTTAAATAAATGGATAAATATTTAAATGTTGACAACGTTGACTAAAATATAGAATTGGATAAAAATGTAGTAGAAAAAATTCTAAACTTTATAATCTCTATAATGTATAACTTTATATTTGTTTGCCTACTATATAGATTTGGTTCAAATCATTGGAGTTTGGAAACAAGAATATCCCAAAAGTATATTTATTTGATTTTTTATTATTTTTTATTATTAATTGAGAATTAAAACATCAAACTTTAATTCTCATTTAATAATCTGTTAAATTTCAAAAGAGTTGCAGTAACCGTAATAAAGTTTTCAACATTTTCAAAATGAGGGGGTTGTAAACTTTATATGATCATAACTTTCAGAAAATAAAAAGTTTAAGTTAAGCACAAAAATAAAAAATATTATATGAAGTCTCTATTTTACTTATTTAAGGCTTAATATCCACATAAATAAAACGATTATATTTTTGGCCATCTATTTCAATGGAATATTTCCACTGTGCATTGTTGGCAGCTTTAAAACATTCCGCTTTCAAAAATAAACTCTGGCGGCGGTGGCCGTTTATGAAGCGGAAGGTATTGCCAGATTTCCGCCGTTTGTCTTGTCCGGATTGACGAACGAACAATATTATTCCGTTTAATTTTGTCTGGACTGACGGACGAACAATATTATTCCGTTTAGTTTTGTTTCGCAGACAATCTAATAGCCTAATTTTTATTATTTGTTTATGTGGTGAAATATGTGGTCACTATTTATAATTTCTTAATATAAACATTTTTATTAACAACACACTGATTTCTTGAAACAAAAATGAGCTCTTCAAAAGTAATTATATTGATGGGAGTGTCTGGTTGTGGAAAGTAAGCCCTATATTTGTATTGCAATACATTTATTTAGTATTTAATATTGAAAACAATCATTTTTTTCAATTTCTCAAATATATATATATATATATATATATATATATATATATATATATATATATATATATATATATATATATATATATATATATATATATATATATATATATATATATATATTTATATATACATATATTATTTATAAATAAAACTGCATATTTTTCACAACTATTAGTTTCATGCTAAATGCAATCATCAGGTGTATATCATCAGGTTTACACCTGATGATTGCATTTAGCATGAAACTAATAGTTATGAAAAATATGCAGTTTTATTTATAGTTAATATATGTAAATACAGCTCTGTTTTAATTTAAATCATTTTAATTTACTTTAATTCATCGAGCACTTTCGCGAGGATATATGCAAGCACTAATACATATACATATATATATATATATATATATATATATATATATATATAATATATATATATATATATATATATATATATATATATATATATATATATACAAATAGTATTGCGTACTAAGGTAAGCAATCTTAAGTCATACTAAAATAGCCTGCTGCTGGGGGCTTCAGTACATACATCGACTGACAAATGGCCTGACTCGCAGTGGAGTGCTGCTACATCGACTGAGGGTTTAAGATGGGGAAGCAATCGTTTTATTCATCATTCTTTGTTTTTTCTTCTTTTTCGAAAAAAACAGTATGGCTTAAGGTAAGCAGAAAAAGTGAGCAAATGCTTATCAAAATACGCTTTAGTAAGTGTATATATATATATATATATATATATATATATATATATATATATATATATATATATATATATATATATATATATATATATATATATATATATATATATATATATACATATATATAGTGTTTAACCAATTTAAATTTTTTATGTCACATACCTATATATATGTACATATATATATATATATATATATATATATATATATATATATATATATATATATATATATATATATATATATATATATATATATATATATATATATATATATATATATATATATATATATATATATATATATATATATATATATATATATATGTACATATATATAGGTATGTGACATAAAAAATTTAAATTGGTTAAACACTATAATGTTATATATCATAAGAAAGCCCTTAAATACAGAATTTCAATGGTGAAAAAATTATCAAAATTGGACAATCCTACAAAAAGTTATGCAATTTTTAGTAGCAAATTTTTGATATATGGATTTGTTGAAGAAACTGTGCTCAAAATTTTGTTTTTCTTCACTAAAATTGTTATAACTTTGTCAATTTTTATCCAAATTCCTATAACTTGGTATTAAAAGATAGATGCATATTTCATCCATAGTAGAGCGTTTTTTTTTTGTTAAATTAGTAATTTTTATATACAAAAACTTAATGCAATCATTTTTTAGTCAACCACCAAATATCATAAGTGTATTTTTATGTTAGGGTGGATACAGAGGTGGTGGTTTAACAAACCCTATTATTAAATATGTTTCATTCATATAAATATTTATATATTTATTTAAAAAAAATCTAGTATTACAAATGAAAATCATATTCAACTAAATTACAACATATATTAGTATATATTGGTGAATACAGTGACTTAGGGGAGGGGCGTCTTCTTCCCCTCCCCCCTTCCTTATCTGACCTAAAAAAAATTGATTATTGAAAAAATGTGAATGTTTAAAAAATATATGATTATTTACATAAAGAAAGAATGATATAAAAACATTTACCATATTACAAGATGCATCCAAGTAAACATTTTTCAGAGTAAGAAGCGTTTAAACCTCCTCCAAGAGTATAGGGCGTTTTAACCCCCTCCAACCTAACAAAAAAAATTTTAAATTAAAATAATATAAAAAAATTATAATGAATTTGTCTTGGCTTTTAGTAAATGATTAAATCTTACAATTTCATTAATGAAACGAAATAATAATCATTGTCAACGATAGACACAACGAGAACGTAAGCCAGAGCCGTCTATCAAAAAAATTGCAAGTCACACCACTTGCGGTACCTAATATGCAAGTACATCACACCACATGCAGTACAAATTTTGCAAGTCATACTACTTGCTGTCCTTATTTGCAAGTCACACCACTTGCTATACTTGTTTTACAAGTCACACCACATGCACTACTTATTTTGCAAGTCACACCACATGCAGTACTTATTTTGCAAGTCACACCACTTGCAGTACTTATTTTACAAGTCACACCACTTGCTGTACTTATTTTGCAAGTCACACCACATGCTGTCCTTATTTTTCAAGTCACACCATTCATCAACGAATTTCAAATTTTATACAATAACCTCTTAGTTTTTAGTTTTTATGACTCTACAAAGTTTACAGCTCCCTCAAATTGAGAGGGGTTAAAACTTTATATGGTCATAATTTTCGAAAAATAAGAAATTATTGGATGAAATTTGAAATTTGTTGATGAATACAAACTTAGATAAAAATACTAAAAAAATTATTTTATCAACTTGTTGCTCCCACCATGAGGGCTGGGTGGGCCCAAAAATTGGGTTTTTTTGTCCCCAAGCTCTTATTATCGCAACTCTTTGCAAAACATTCTCATTTGACATAAGCATGAACATACAAAAGTTTGGAAATTGCACAATACCTGTAAGTTTCAAAACTCAAACATCTAAAAGTCCAGTGTACACCACTGTATATATATATATATATATATATATATATATATATATATATATATATATATATATATATATATATATATATATATATATATATATATATATATATATATATATTTGTGTGTCTGTAAATTAATTCTAGATATTTCTTTAATACTTAAATACTTCTTTAATCATATTTTGTTTAATTTTTTTTCTGTTATTTACAGTTTGTAAAATTATAACTTGATTTGTTGGTATTAAAAACTTTGTTTAAACTACCAATTATTTGTCATTTGTTGTTGAAGGTATTTATGCTATTTTTTCAGTAACTATTACTTTTATCTCTAACTTTTTAGCACATTTGTTGTCTTATTACACAGCAGTATTCTATTGAATAATTTTTTATAATTTTTAGGGTAATATGGGTTCAAAAATTAATTTGTGTGTATTTCGTGGGAAATTCAAAAAGTATATAGTTGCTAACTTCACCTTATCATCTGAAACAAATAATCAGTGTATAGTGAGGCATATGCATTTTGTATTTATAAAAAATAAAGAGGTGTTTACTGCAACTGTTAAAGAAGTCAACAAGTGTTTTGGCTTCAACATCGGCACAAATGATATCAAGACTATTCTGAATAAAGCAAAGAAATGGGTTTGCAATTTTTTAAGAGACTCCAAACATTTTATTGCTTTTTGCAATGAGCCCTATGCATTCCCTAAACCAGTGTTTAACCAACTATTGCAGGTTACCTCTAGTAATATAAATACTTTATTTTGTTCTTCAACTGTTTCATCATTGGAAAAATCCATTTCATCTCCAACAACTAGTGAATGTTTATCTTTACCATGCCAAATTGTAAAATTACCAAGTAGGCAGAGTTCAAGAGAAAATCAAAGTACAAAAGAAAAAAAAAACAATAAAAAGGTTGTCTTAATTGTCTTCAAAGTTCGCTAACTCTACCAAGCAGTACCAAAACAAAATAACTTTATTAAAAAGTAAATTAAAGAGCATGCCATATAAGATTAAAGTTTAAGGCAAAGTGTTGCAAGAAAAGAGGAGATTATAAAAACATTAAGGCAAGAAATTCGAGACTTGAAAAAAAAAATGCAAACATACTATTACAATAAAGTTATTCACAATTTTAAAGCTGCAAAAAAAGCAATAAGAATTAAAGAAAAACAAAAGTTAAGAGATTTAATGATAAAACACAAAATTGATGTTAAGGCAAACAAAATATTGATTGCAAACTTAGAAAATGATTTGACACAAATGGAGGAGGACAACCAATCAGTTACTATGTTTTCAGATGATGAAAAGATTTATCCATTACAGATGAGAATGATAGTTTATAGTATGTTATTGTGTAATGTACCAACACATAATATTCCATTCCTAATAGAGAAAATGGCTCAGTATTTAGGTGTTTCTTTTTCTCATATTCCTCATCATAGTACTGTAGAACTCGAGAGCTCGGTATAATATCAGAAATGCAAGCTGGTGAATGGGCTGTTAGTAATAATCATCTTACTCTTGGGTTTGATGCTACAACACAAGAAGGTGTTCATATCAGCAGCATTCATTTGACGTCTGAAAGTAAATGCTATGTAATTGCTCTTGACCAATTACCAGGTGGTACAGCTGATGATTATGAAAACCATTTATGTAATGCAGTAGATCGGATATCTTTAGTTTATTCAGAATTTAACTTGCTTTCTTTTAATGAGTGTCGTAGCTTAATTATTTCAAATATATCTAACACAATGTCAGACAGGGTTGCAGTTAACCAACCAACCAACAATATATTACACAATATACTACAAACAATCTTTTAATGATACTAAAAATAAACTAATAAGTTTTGTATATATAAATACATTAATTTATTATTGATTTATTATTACGCTGGGCACAATCTGTTTAGAGAAAATATAAAACAAAAAAGAAAGAAAAAAAAAGAGAAAAATCTCTTTTTATTATTATTAATATAAAATTCCTGATTTTTATTACAATAAGGTGCTTTTATTTATCATTTTAGCCCCAGACGCCAATAACACTCACTATGCCACTGATAACACTCACTATGCCACTGATAACACTCACTATGCCACTGATAACACTCACTATGCCACTGATAATAATAAATGCTTTTCAAGCTTTAAATTACTACTTTTTATGTTTATCTTGAGCAAAAAGTATTTTAAAAATTTGTTTAATAACAAAGAACTAAAAATAAGATGAAGTGGAAAACAATTTTAAATAAAACTTTAAACTTATATACATGTGTGCTT